ATATTCAGTCAGTTCTACCGAATATTGCTGCGTCTAATCCCTTTGGGGAGTTGGTTTTGCGTGTCGGTCAGCAGTACGTGTTGTCTATGGTTCCTCAAAAGGTTAAGTGACCCAGTGGTTGTGAGCCTTGTCAGTTTGCTTTGTGTCTGGCTGCCTAATATGAGAGGCCCTTTCAGCTGTGGCCAGTGAGATTCTATAGTGTGTTGTGCTTGTAATAACAATACCAAACACCATACCAAATACAGTACCTGGGGATTCCTATCACAGGTAACCTAACCTAAGCTTTGTAGCCAAATTTATAGCTAATTTGGACAGAGTACTATAATTTATTATATAATTTTGTGGGAGACTTGCAGGACATGTGTTGGAGGGAGGGACGTGAGGCAAATGGACTGTATGAGGTGAAAGGGACAGGTGTATATAGGTCAACGCGATCGAACAAAGCACGATCAACAGTTGCAGTTAGGTAGGGCACTTTAAAAGCCTTTAAACTGGAGTCTTAATTCAGTCAGATCAGAACATATCTTATGTAGGAAATGTTTCAAAGGGCCTCTTTAAATGGGCTGTAAGTTTTCTCTGCTGCTGAGCGTGGTTTCTTGTCATCAGCAGGTGGTGGTGATTGTCACTTGAGAAGAGCTTCAGCCATCGTTTTTTCTTCATAAAACAAGAGGTTATAATAAGTCCTCTGAGCAGCTACAGTATGTCTTCAGGGCAGATTGAAGACTACAGTGAGTCACTGTCAGAAAATGAAAAGATGGGCCAGGGCTAGCTGGTTAGCATGCTAATCTCATCAGAAGAAAAGACATGATAGATACAAGAGTTAACATTGGTGTTGCTTTCCACCTCTGGAGACAGCTGTTGATCAGTAAAGGAATGAAGTTTGATGCTGAATTCACAACGTTTCTTCTAGACTGCTGATTAAACAGCTGTTAATGCTACAATAGCTATGTAGCAATAGCAGATCTTACAAATAGCTCCTTTAATGGAATAATTCAACATTTTAAGAAATACTAATTCTAACTGGCTTTGTTGCTGAGAGTTAGATGAGAGGATTGGTACCACTCTTATGTCTGAATGGTAAATAGGAAGCTACAGCCATCAATTGGTTAGCTTAGCATAAAGACTCCAGGACATCACTGCTCAAGCCAATCAAGAAACCTACTGTAGCAGAACCCCCTGTAAAATCACAACATGTGAGCTGTAGAGGTACACTGTGTTTCCTTTGGACTGAGCCATGTTGGCTGGTTCTGTCAGCAGTCATTAGCAAGCTGCTGGGTGGAGCTTCATATTTACCATGGTATCAATCTCTTCAGTCACTTCACCTAAACTATACGAAAAACTGTTCAACTAATTCATTCAACAACATGATGCTTCATCAACAAATGAAGCATCAGTGTACAGTTAATCAATTTGATTGATAGGCCTCTAGATGCAAAATTACCTCCACCCTCCTCCTCCAGCTCCTCTTGTGGGTGGGTTGAAGGAATACAGTGTGTTTCCTCTGAATGGACCATAACTGCTGTAAATAGAGCAGTCAATCTGTTGCCTCGGGTCATCTGTAGACGCTCTTTCTCCTTTTAAGGCAATCAAAAGAAAATCTAAGTTTACTATAGTCATGCTTTGCTGCACATTAAATTATTTCTTATTTGTTCACCTTATGTGCCCTAGCATCTATTGTAATTGCTGACTGGCCATTTCAGAGCTTCAATTCACATCCACTTCAGCATGTCCATCAGCTGTGCGCAGGAGAGGTCACTCTGATGTTATACCCTGCTCAATTTTCCAAGGAGTGAACAAAGAAATGAGAGCACTGTCTTATTTGAAATCTTTTCCGTTTTTGGGTCTCCTCACTTTTTCTTTCTCAAGCTCATTTCCAGTCCACACGTATTTCACCCCATCTCTCTCCCTTTGTCCTGTTTAAATACAGATGGCTTGTTGCTGCCATCTAGTGTTACGGTTTTACTACTACAACTGGAGGAAGGTTGTACTGCATGTATGAAGTGGTTTTCACTCTGATGTGTCACTAACATTTGTTTTCATAAAGCACCTGACTAAGATTGAATCAGACTGAATCCAAAGGACGTGCAAAATAAAATATAAACAAACATGTGTAATGCATAATATTTAAGTGAATAATTGTCGATATTACACATTGCATAAATAGTACATTTCCTTTAATATAAACTTTACACTCCAGTTAACATCATCAAATTTTGGCCTCAAGACATTGGAAGAACTAAAATCTATGAATTTTGACTTTAGTTTCACTGGGTCAGGTCTGACACCTCGCTAAAGTCAAACACCCATAACCATGAAACCAAACCCCTTAAACTGTGAATGGTCATTTTGGGAAACACTTCAGCTGCTGCTAAACCTTAAAACCAAATTATCAGTGTGTTGCTTTTTATTCATTTAACAATTTGTTATTGGTTTGTACTTCTTAAAAGCACTGTGAACTTCTGCTGCCTTTTAATTATTACTAGACTTTAGTTGACCTTGTTATTTATTGGTTTTATTGTTGTTTTAGCTAGTATGCTGCTGTTTTATCTAGTTTTTATCTTGTGTCGGTTGGTATTTTTAATCTTGTGTCTTGCTGCTTTTATGAGAGTGCCAAATTAAATTTCATTGTAGGGACTACAAAGACAATAAATGTCCTTATATACATATATGTATATAGTGTTTACAGTTATTATAGTTATTGAATGAAACATTGACCTTTCATAAGTCAAAATATGTACGGCCGATGTTTTCATTCAACTGATTCCTGTTATTTCTGTAAATAATTTTATAAATAGATTTGATCACTTGTTGATCACTTTTTTGTAAATATCATATACGTATATCCATTTAAGATCATGGTTATAAGAACTGTTTAAAATACTTTTGATGAAGACCTAGAGAAAGGAAATGTTAGGATGATCAATTAATTGGGATGCTGAGCAAGAGCAGAGTGGGGGATATTCTTCTTTTCAAGACTGAAGTGACACTTTCCAAAACACCTGTATCTAAGACATTTGGATGTCCGAATATTGTCATTGAGAAAGTTATAATCAGTGCTGCAATCATGGGGAAACTTAAACATTGCTCTTGTATCTTATGTAACTACTGAATGTTCTCATTTCCTGACATTTCCTGAGGAACAGAAGTGAGGTGTACACAGGATGTTCTCACTAAAACCAGAAAGGTCAAAAGAAGGTGCAGAAGGACAAAAAATTCATTCAAAAAGCATTCCATGGAATTTCAATAAACACTGGATTAATGAGGTTGTTCTAAGGCTTTTATTTGGTGTATGCATTTATATTTCCTTAATTTTACTTTCCACATGAGCAGTGTGTACAGTCAGTACTGTGTGTTATATACCCCCACGTTATACACCGCCTTTGATGGCTGCTGGCTGGTATGTTTGAAGCAGCATTTGTGTATGTAAAGTTAAACTTTAAGAAAGTGATATTATTATGATCATAATGATAAATTATACAGTATATACTGCGTTTTACAGCCTACATCACAGCATCAATTACATAACAATTACTGGTGGCTGAATAAATGTGAAAGCTTCTTTAAATGCTATAAGCACAGCTCATTCTGGGAATATTGGGAATTTTCCATCACTGTGTCCTCCACCGATGTCTAACTTACTTACAGTCAAGCTAAGCTAATGCTAAGATAAGCTAAAATCTGTCCTAAAATCTTAACAACCTGGAATGGTAAAAAAAAAACAAAAAAAAAACAACACAGACAATGAGTATAATCATTGATTTATTTTCTATCTTTAAATGTCAAATTCAATTTACTTTTACTTTTCAATTTACTTTTACTTATTACTTACTAATTTATCTTACAAAAGTTAAATCAAAACACAGAAAATAATACTTTCTTTAAGCTCTTCATCTTCACAGACCCTAGTCCTGTTCTTCCTCTTCCTCATACCACATCACTTTTCTAAAGGGCTCGTAAACCTGCTCCTAAAACTAAACTACACACACACAGACTGTACACAGGTTACTCCAAACCAGAATATGAAGGCGTTAAACGTAATAATAAAATGTGTTTGCATGCCTCTATACAGTGTCTAATACATTATACTGTATTACACACATACAGACATTTTTACATGCTGTGGACAATTGTAAAATCAATTAATATACAGTGGCATTTTATTTTTATTTAATTTCAGTAAATTAGGTTATTTCCATCTACACTACAATTTTTACATAGAATAACAACATCCCACTGCAGCCTTTGTACAAAGGTTTCCCATTAAAGCTCCATATAGTCTAAAGGTAGATGTCCATGTGTAGTTTGATTATAGATCAGGTCTAGGTTCTATATTAATACTGTGAAAGTATCAAAGCCTCAGTCCACAGAGAAATGCACACAGCCTGTATTCAGACACTGAGCCTTAAAACCAGCCGTCAGGACTTCTGGAACTCTGTGATGTCACAACAAAGCAATCACAAGCCCCGCCCATCTGGACCCACTATCCAACCTTGCAGGATTTGGTTTCTCGGAGTGTTTTCCTGAAATCTGCTATATTTTTATTGGATCACTCAGAAAACAGTGAGCCAACCAGAAGAGAGGATCAGAGCCTCCTCTCTTCTGATTGGCTCACTGACCTGTTGTCATTAGAGCTCCAGAGAGAAGCCTGAGAGAGGAGATGTAAAACTACAGTGAGATGGTTTTTGGTTCTTAAAACCACAAATATATCTTCTTATGGATCAAAATCAATCAAAATATGGACCTTTAAAACTGCTGCTGTATCAATAATTGAGTTGCTATCAGTACCAGGAGTTTGTAAATTGTCTTTTAATTACAGCTCAATATTAATTTACTGTGCAAGTGTATACAGTACATGGTTGCACCTGTGAATTTTTCCCCTTAAAAGGACATTCAAACTATAAATGTGTCACAATTTATGTATAAAATGAGGAGTGAACAATCAGTATACTGATACAATGTATTATAATACATCTTCCAACCATAAGCAGCATCTTCCTCCTTTATTTGAACCAGTACATGTAGTTGGACTGCACAGGAGGAAAGCACATGTTGTTGCTGCAGGCTCCTCCATAGCTGGATGGACAGGCTGAACAGGGAACCCCCACTCTGTACGGAGCCTCTCCGATCCAGTTTCCTCTGCGCAGGAAAACACAAACAACATTATCTGCAAAGTGGAATCATTCTCACAAAATAAATTCATTTTCCAAACACACACTTATGTATGCCTGGTCTTCAATATAGATTCAGGCACATGAGCCCAGACAGAGTTACTGACTGGCTTCATGACTGCCCTCTCTTTTTGAAAGTTTGTTTTCATCTGTCTGTCCGTATGTACGTCTGTCCGTCCCATTCTCGTGGACACGATATCTCAGTAACACCTTAATGAAACTTCTTCAGATTTGGCACAAACATTCACTTGGACTCAAGGATGAACTGATTAGATTTTTGTGGTCAAAAGTTTTGGCCTTGTGAACACAATATTTTCGTAACGCCTTGAGGGACTTTCATCTAATTTGTTAAAAGTGTTCACTGCGACTCAATGACGAACTGATTAGACTTTGATGGTCAAAGGTCAAAGGTCAAGGTCAGTGTGACCTCACAAGGTCAGTGTGACCTGGATAAACAGGATGTAACATGAAACTAGTCTGAGTGGAGGAGGCAGACAGCCACTAGGAAGTGAATCTAGTTCTCTACAGTAACTTTCTCAACTTTTCTATGTATTTTTCCATCTAGTAGTTTTCATGATCATTCTGTTTTGGATGACTTATGTGACTCATGATTTATATTTGACTTGTCTTTTGATGTGTTGTATTTCATGTGTGTCTATAACACATTGACCTTTGGCCTTTTCCTCCTTTCTATGGAGGCATGCCCCATCCCCCATGTGGTAGGATCAGACTGTGTTGTCCAGCTCTGCTCTGATTGGTTCAGCCTGGGGGCAGTTTGACTCTCAATCATGTAGATCAGTATCAGCTGTGTGTCTATATAAAGCCTGTTCTGCTTCGTGATGGGGAATTAACAGAGATCCCTGTAGTCTGAGACATTGCTTTATTGAAATTGATGCGAGAGAAAAAAGAAAAAAAAAAGAGTCACTGGAGGATTCAAACTCATCACCTGTTCAGACTGTGGCCTTCGATGAGCCTCCACCCCTGGTTGCATTGCCCTTGTGAGCAGCATCTATGCTCTTACAGGTGTACAGGTTCTGAAAACAAACTGTAGAACTAAGTAACTAGTTACTAAGACTAACGGAATATAATTGATTGGAAATGGAAACTTGTGAAACTGATCCATCCAAACATGATCGAGCCTGAATCTGAATCTGAGAGTGGACAGAAGCAGAGATCACAGCAGGACATCTCTGTTCAGTAAATATTAGACCCATTACCAGCTGATTGTAATACAATGCTGGATTTTGTTTCAGTCACAATCTGTACATAAAATATTATCCTGCTGCTAGTTGTACATGAGTGAAATTAGCTGAAATGTAAAGCTGACATCACTGTCACCTGCAGCTGCAGTGATCTCTCTTCAACAAGCACTCTAAACTTTGTCTTCCACAGGTTTCACTGTAATCACAGAAGATTTTTTGCCCACCACCACCATTTGTCTGTGGGCGAGGAGCCACAGAAACAGCTATAACTACAACCTGTTTGAGGCCTGACCTACATCTCACTCTGAGGCAGCATCTGGAGGTGTCAACATGACCAAAAGATCACAACTCAAAAAGATCTTGATCATATATTTGATCATAACGAGGAGGAGGAGGGATGTGAAATAGACGAGGAAGAGTCAAACACAGCCCGGAAACATCGTCCAGCACAGGGCGCTCACCTGTTTGCTCACCCACGGACACTTCCCTCCATCTCCTCATTCAGTTTTGAGGAGGGAGTGAGAGCAGATCAGCAGGAATCACACGGAGCAACACGCTCATTGCAGTAGACACAAGTGAGGCCGTTAAATCCCTTACTGATCTTCATCCACCGCACCATTGACAGCCATCCTAACTACCTCTACATGCTCACCGATAATCCACATTCCACGACCCAGCAAATTCCCAGACTGGATCACTTGCTTTTCCTTTATTTTCTTTTTTGGCTTGAGGTTTTTTCTGTTTGTGAACTGAACTGAACTAAACCTTTACTTATCAAAACCAACTTAAATTAAAGGTTGTTGTTTTTTTTCCTGGACTGAAAATAACTAAAAACAAAACCCAAAGTGGAATTTTGAGTTTGATTGTTCATTTTTTTTGGTTTTATGAATTTATGATTGTGGGATTTGGGGTTACTTGTTGAAAATCTTTAAAAATACAGACAATTTTATTTCTTTGCAGTAAAACAAAGTGTGTTCCTTGTGAGACTGGAATAGTTGTTCATTGTGTAGAGGGAGTACATTTTGAAATTGCATCCTTTGTGTTAGTTTGACATGACCCACAGACGGACACATACAGGGTCAACTCACTTGGGTGAGTAGTTGCAGACGAGGAAGGTGGCTTCAGTCCACAGAACTCCCCACACAAACATGTTGTAGCAGGTCTGCACTGCACAGCCCACTCTGCTGGTGGAGGCCCACACCATCTGAAACACACAGCAACCACACAGGTGTTTACAGAGTCCTCTAACACACCATCAGACTGACATTCAATCAGACAACAGACCCACAGTGTCCATAAAGCTGTTCAAACTAATGTAGAAAAAAACTAGGTAAGGTGGTGCAGGTGGTGTGTTGTGGTGGTGCAGGTGGTCTGGTGGTACAGGTGGTGTGGTGGGGCAGGTGGGGTGGTTGTGCAGGTGTTATGGTGGTGCAGGTGGTGTGTTGTGGTGGTGCAGGGGGTCTGGTGGTGCAGGTGGTGTGGTGGGGCAGGTGGGGTGGTTGTGCAGGTGTTATGGTGGTGCAGGTGGTGTGTTGTGGTGGTGCAGGGGGTCTGGTGGTGCAGGTGGTGTGGTGGGGCAGGTGGGGTGGTTGTGCAGGTGTTATGGTGGTGCAGGTGGTGTGTTGTGGTGGTGCAGGTCTTGTGGTGGTGAAGGTGTTGTTGTGGTGCAGGTGTTGTGATGTTGCAGGTTGTGTGTTGTGGTGGTGCAGGTGGTCTGGTGGTGCAGGTGGTGTGGTGGGGCAGGTGGTGTGGTTGTGCAGGTGTTATGGTGGTGCAGGTGTTGTGGTGTTTTGGTGTTGTGTTGTGGTGGTGCAGGTGTTGTGGTGGTGCAGGTGTTTTGGTGGTGTGTTATGGTGGTGCAGGTGCTGTGATGGTGCAGGTGTTATGGTGGTGCAGGTGTTATGGTGGTGCAGGTGGTGTGTTATGGTGGTGCAGGTGTTATGGTGGTGCAGGTGGTGTGTTGTGGTGGTGCAGGTGTTGTGGTGGTGCAGGTGTTTTGCTAGTGTGTTATGGTGGTGCAAATGTTATGGTGGTGCAGTTGCTGTGGTGGTGCAGGTGTTATGGTGGTGCAGGTGTTGTGTTGGTGCAGGTGGTATGTTATGGTGGTGCAGGTGGTGTGTTAGGGTTGTGCAGGTGTTGTGGTGGTGCAGTTGTTGTGTTATGGTGGTGCAGGTGTTGTTGTGGTGCAGGTGTTGTGGTGTTGCAGGTGGTGTGCTGTGGTGGTGCAGGTGGTCTGCACAAACACAACACCTGCACCACCATAACACCTGCACCACCACAGCACCTGCACCACCATAACATCTGCACCACCATAACACACCACCTGCACCACCATAACACCTGCAGCACCATAACACACCACGCAGGTGGTGTGGTGGGGCAGGTGTTGTGTTAAGGTGGTGCAGGTGTTTTCTAACAACACCATCAGACTGACATTCAATCAGACACAGAACACAGTGTCCATAAAGCTGTTCAACTAATGTAGAAAAAAAGGTGCAGGTGTTGTGGTGTTTTGGTGTTGTGTTGTGGTGGTGCAGGTGTTTTGGTGGTGTGTTATGGTGGTGCAGATGTTATGGTGGTGCAGGTGTTGTGATGGTGCAGGTGTTATGGTGGTGCAGGTGCTGTGATGGTGCAGGTGTTATGGTGGTGCAGGTGTTATGGTGGTGCAGGTGTTGTGGTGTTGCAGGTGGTGTGTTGTGGTGGTGCAGGTGGTCTGCACCAACACAACACCTGCACCACCATAACACCTGCACCACCACAGCACCTGCACCACCATAACATCTGCACCACCATAACACACCACCTGCACCACCATAACACCTGCAGCACCATAACACACCACGCAGGTGGTGTGGTGGGGCAGGTGTTGTGTTAAGGTGGTGCAGGTGTTTTGGTGGTGCAGGTGTTATGGTGGTACAGGTGGTGCAGGTGTTGTGGTGGTGCAGGTGTTATGGTGGTGCAGGTGTTGTGTTGGTGCAGGTGGTATGTTATGGTGGTGCAGGTGGTGTGTTATGGTGGTGCAGGTGTTATGGTGGTGCAGGTTGTGTGTTATGGTGGTGCAGGTGGTGCAGCATGCCCATGGGTGCACAGATGAGAGCAAGTGTTTTTGCTACAACAACGTGGGCACTGGACGGGAAAACGACTGTGTCGGTCTAAAACAAGCAAAGACACTCCGGTTGTAAGATAGAGCCCTCTGAGTTTGTTATTCACAAGAACCAGCTGATGTGAACCAGGCCTCACAACAAAGATCTCAGATCAGATCACACTTTCTGACCAATCAATTCAGAAAACCAGCTCATTCCAAAGGGTTCACATACGTAAGTGAAATATAGAGAGTACGAATGTGACTGACTCTGATGGAAACCAGTCTGTTCTCTCTCCTCTCTAATGAGCAGAGAGATCAAACCTTCAGTGAGCAGCTTCTCTCTAACGTGACTGGTGGTTCATCACTAATTAATGTTAATTCTGTCACTAACTTAATAACAGGCTGCTGTCGGTGCAGTGTGCTTTCTGCAATACTCAGCTAAAGCCCGTGTAAACAAAACATGACTGTTACTTTAATCTGCCAAATGCAAATCTGTGTCAGACTGAAGAAAACCATGCTGAAATCTCATTGTCTCGTTTGATGTATAGTAAGAGAGATAATAGTTATATTAAGTAATAGTAGGAAAATTACACACACACACACACACACACACACACACACATAGCTCAAAGAGCAGTGATGACGACCCTCCTCACCTGTGTGTAGTGTGTACACATGGGCCCGTAGCAGAGCAGGGGGCAGCTGGGATTGCAGAGGCGGGGGTAGGGGAACACGTAGTCGTTGACCTCATCATACCAGGGTTTGAGCAGCTGCAGGATGGACTGATACCTGTGGTGACAGAGATGGTTCTGAGGAGGAGAGATTCATCCTGTCTGCTTGTTCTTCTTCTTTTCTGTTCCAGGTGCATCCAGGCTCATTCATAAAAAAACATACAGCCCATAATATCCTGTAATATCTAAAATATCAGCCTGAGGACATCAGACTTACAGTACAGGTGGGCTTGACAAACTAATTCGACATTAGTTGTTTTAATTGCTCATGTCCCTTCTGTTCTTTCATTAATGAACATATTTAAGAGGTTCTCATGGGTTTATTGATCCTATTCTGGCTCGTGGTGAATCATTTTATTGTCCAGTCATCATCTCAACACTTAAACACTGAAATTAAAAAAGGTCAAACTAGCTGGACTTTCAGGTAAAATCCTTCCTCTGTGTGTGTGTGTGTGCGTGCGTGTGTGTGTGTGTGTGTGTGTGTGTGCAGTACTCACCCCCCCGTCCTGACTGACAGGTTCTGTCCATAGAACTGCAGCAGGTAAGCTGGACCATGTGCCCACACACATGTAGCAGCCCAGGCCTCAGCCGTCCTGGCCAGGTTGTTGTCCCACACCTGTTGGAAAGAGAGTCGAGAAGAGACAGTCACAGCTGCTGTGAAAAAACAAGCTCCAGAACTTTTCAGGAGATAAGACATAAGTAATAGCGGGAAGGCAATGTTCTCCACGTCTGCTCACAATAGCAGTTTCAGTGTGGAAACAAAAGAAAAATAAAATGAAGTGAATGAAATCTGAGAGCTGTGGCAACAGCAAACCTGCCTCCTCCTCCTGTCACAAATGATGCACCAGAGAAACGTTAGCAGGAATTAGCGGCAGAGCTTCAGCTGCCTGCTAACATTTTTGTTGTGATTTAGCTAGCTTGTTAGTTTGTTGGCCCTAATGACTAGTGTGTGCAAGAGAGAGAGAGAGAGAGAGAGTTGGTCGATTGATAACAGGTGACGCATATTAGGGCGGTACAATGCAAATGTACCATAAGACATTCAATAAGCAAGTAATCTGGAACATGACCCTTGTCCTGTTTAGAGAGTAATTCCACCAGTCTTGCAGAGTCATATTTAATCATATCAAGCATTAAATTATTTTTGTTTTCGTGTAGTTGTTGTTTCTTCATCCACTAATTATTTGTGCCAGAAGTAGACACGACTGCAGCTCTCTGCTGAATATTTGACTCAACTCACCAGTTTTCCAGTTTTTTGTATGTCAATCAGACATAGTCGTCACTGATGGAAAATGGATTGACTGAACATTTCTACCTCAACAGGCAAAGCGCTTGCTCAAGGACACATCAACCTGGCCATCAATGTACGACCCGCTCCACCCACATTCTCTGATTTTGGCAGGAGTTACAGAGGGACCACGTCTGAAACATGAGGGAGGACGAGCTGGTGTTTGGAACAGACTGAGAGCCAAAGTCCATCATCCACCCCTGTCCAGAATCCTCTGTGTGGGTGTTCAGTCTTTGAAGAGCAAGATGGATGAGTCCTCCTCTGTTTTCTCTGTGGACAGAGCAGTCTGGCAGGTCCATGGGTCTTTCTAGCGACTAAGAATAATTGGTGTAATCCCAGAGACATTAAAACTCTTCCAGCTCTCCTGGCTTTAAGATTGTGATGATTTCATGCTCTTGTTCTGTGGGAGTTCCCTTTGACTGTCATCCCTGCTGTGTGCCTCCAACCACAGGCCATCAGTGCAGCGCAGTGCCCAAACACTGACTGGGATTTTGGCAAGGCAAACTAACATATCATCACCTTTTATGTTGATTTTATTCATCCTCTTTTAGCTCTGTTTCAGATGACTCTCTACTCCAGAGGGAAACATCTGGCCTTTTAGAGGCTATAGCTCTGTCTGTCTGTTTGCCAGTGGACAGTGATGTTTCAGAGCCGTTTCTCTGAGAACAGCTGCCTTCTGTGGCCAAATACAACATAATGAGGGCAGAGAGAGTGGATCACAGTTGTGGGCCAGACAGTTGCAGTTAAAAGCTGCAGATTCAAGTGATAATTCTCTAGCATTCAAAAAAGCGACCCCCTTTCACAGTGTCACCTTGTTTAAGATTTTGATATCATAAAAATATCAGTTATAGATGCCTTAAAAAGTTCTGTCAAACTTCTATCATGGTCCTGTTGGCCCTGTTTTCCTTCTGTTCTCTGCTGCATTCCCTTCCCTCTCTTGTTTGTTGTCACCAGTCTGTTCTCTGGATCTCTGGAGCAACACCACATCCTGCTGCAGTAGAAAAGGGCTGGTACATCTCACCATTCTTCACCGGATCGTTCAGTCACCCACAGTGGTATTGCGATATGGCCGGCTGTTGTTTTGGACTCTGGTCTTGTTCTTTCAGATTTTTGATGACCATTCATTTTGTCCTGTGCTTCAGGTTCAGTATCCTGTCTCTCTGTTGTGTACCATGTCTTGCTCTGCTTTTTGTTTGCCTGTCCTAATTTGTGCGCATCTGTCTGTGAGGTCAAGTGACCTCCGTTCTCACCTCACCTATCTGTTGGTACTTCAGTAACCTTTCGGCTTTCTGCCTGACTTTGCTCCCACGTCAACATCATCCCTTGACAAATTCATTACCCTCTTCACTGCCTGCAGCCAGCCGGTCTCAGCTCTCTGTCTGTGTATTTGTTGCAATATTGTTGTCATTACCTCCGGGCAATGAATCTTGGGATAGATTGGACCACAAAGGATCCACAATCCAAATAGGACAGTCTAGCCACGCTGCTGTGATGCAACTGGTCCTCAAATACAACCTCTGAATGATGAGACCCCTGAACTGGGACACAGCTTATATCCTACCAGAGGAGTGAGAGTCTGGACCTTTCAAGGAGGGTTTCACGACAGATTTTTTTTTTTAATTGAGATGCATGTTGCGACATCTTTAGAGGGTGTTTTTGCAATGAAACTGTGGGAGCAAATAAAAATTGATAAAAAATTGTCACTGACTTTTTTGTATAATTCATTAAAAATTGAAGGCAACTTGTTCCAGTGAGAATAAATCCACCCTGTTCTGAATGTTCTAAGCAACCAAAAAGGTCCAGAATTACAAAGATTCTAACAAAATAATCTTTATTTGTGAATGAAAAAGTGCACCTTGGAGGTATTCCACAAAACAGCAAAATCTTTTTTCAAGCTCAAACTCTGTCAAATAGCAAGCGAAAATTATAAAATACATATTCATCTTCATCATGAAACATCAATGTTGACATCAATGAGAAATCTGTTTTTAGTACCTGTGACAAAATTTAAAAATGAAATTAGAAAATAAATAAATAAATAAAAAGTGAAAACTGAGCCATTTCAAAAACTTAAGAGCACACAACTTAATAGTAAAACCAATATCAAACTTCTTATCTCAGCACCTTCGTCTACATATGCTCATAAAACCAAACAGCTTCTTTCAATTGAAGTTGATAGACATCCAGAACAATGCAAATCCCTGTTTTCTTCTGATTACTATTACTAGGGGCAAGAAAGTGAACAGAACCTCCGGACTCTCACTGAGTGGACCGTTGACCACAGCGCAGGTGATGACCCAATCTTCACAAATCTTATAGGGAAAAAGAAAAGAGAAATATAGTATCACGTTGACATGCAATCACAGTAAGTGAGAAAAATCCCCCCACCCCACAGTGAGCCTATCTAGTACAAGATATTGTTGGAGCTTATTTACATTCAATGATTTTCACGCCCTCCTCTCTCTCTCTGTAACACACACACGCTATCCATGTCTGATTTTACTACACATCAACTTGATATTTTCAATACACATTTAAACATTTGAGACTTTTTATTCCCTTGAGATTTTTTTATCCCAAACTATTTTCTATATCTCTGTCACTCAAACACACACACGCACACACACACACTGTTTATCAACACCAACTCTATCACTTCGTACTTTCTGCTACACTAAAATTACAACTAACTCTGCATATTTAATCTAACTCACCTTGACTTTTCCAGCACTTGCAACAGATCTGGATGCAACAGCCTCTGTCAGGTTCATTTGTCTTGTCGTTGTCCACACGTCTCAGCCATTCTCCAGGTGTGTTTTGTGGTGGAAAAGTGTTTGTTCATTCAATCAATAACTTTCGTTTGTGCTCCACCACAATGTTGATCGGAGTACAAAACAATTTAATCCCACTTTCCTGCAGAACATCGGCGGATTGCTTTTCACGGTCTTTGACAGTGGTGTTTGTTGGTAAATGTGAGACGTTCATGTCACACATGTCTGCAGCTTCAGTATGCTTCAAAACCAGGAACAAGGAAGTGAGTTCGGTGACATCAAGGTTTTGTGCAGGGACTGGTGTGATTGGTTCAACTGGCGAGAAACTATGACGATTGGTCAAATTTGCGGAAAAGTTGCAGTGATTGGACAGAAATGCAAAGTTGCTCAGAATGGTTCAATTTGCATTAATTATTGGGATTGCGACATTATGACATTCTGGAGGGACTGATTCCCCCTACAATGCAGTAAGTCAGACCATGATGCAATGTTCGTCAAAAGGAAATACAACCAAAGGGAGGTAGAGGGAGCTGTGGTGATGGGCAAGGTCAGGTGATGGACTGCCCTATCAGAGGCTATGGTGCAGGTGATAGGTTCCTGTCAGCTCTGATCTCAGTGAGCCGTCAGAAGTCACTTCAGAACCAGAAACCGTGGGTTGATGGATCAATCTACGCTGCTCTGGGCTCTGCTGCTCACAGCTCAGGACTTCATCGTCCTTCAGACTGAGAGATGTGCTCAGAGATGCTCAGCAGACCCGACTGTAATTACTATTATTGCTGTTACTGCACACTAACCTTCTAGTGGGGGTTGGCACCAGTTCCACGTAGATCTCTTAGAATAAGTTACATCCCATAAAGGGCTGTCAACCCTGGAACACATCACTAACTGAAATGAAATTAACTCCAGACATAAATTCCTTTACAACAAAGGGTGAGTGCTAAAAGCAAAGCAGAGGACTATTGTTAATTATCTTTGTTTGACTGTTTGTAGCTTGTTGTTTTGTTGTTGTCTCACATATTTTTAGCTAACTGTAGGATATTATCAGTTGTGTTGTTTTTGCTATTGACTGGTTTAATTACATTTAATTACATGTAAAAGCCCAACTGGGGGCAGGAGTCGAGAATTAGCAACAGCTATAAACTCTTTGTGCAACTCATTAGTTTCATGCCCTGTTTTGAAAATATGTTAAATTGCATTGTTCCTATCAAAAAAATAAACAAACAAACAAACACACAAGACTTTTCTAAATGCAATAAAACTAAAAGAAGCGTTGCAGCAGTTACTCAGAGGTGCCTGTATCCAGAAGCTGCAGTTAGTGCAGCTGTAAAGTTGTAAAATGTGAAGAACCAGAGGAGGAGATGAAACAGAAAAGAACATGTTCTTCAAACATCAGGAAAAGAGATGAATCTGTTCAAACATCCTCCAACAGGCAGAGAACCAAACTGTCCTCCTAACGTCTGATGATAAATAGTTTGTTTGGAGGGATGATGGTGACGGTGCTGTCTGTGGGCTGATCCAGGGCCTGTGTCCACAGCCAGCTGTTTTTGCTTTGGAAGCGCCCATGACAACAAGCTCGAATGAGCAAAGTTCCCTGTGAACATGAGAGCCAACAAAAAAACCATCCAGAAACAACTATTAGCCCACGCTAGCATTGCTGTGATATGCTCCTCATTAACGCTGACAGTAAGCTAGTTAGCCATAGCAACATTTGTCGAACACATTTATAACATCGCTAACAGCAAGTTAGCTAACGATATCATGTATACTGTAGCCGTCACTAATGAAAACAGACATGCAACATTACGTAGTATCAAGTGACTGACACACGGTGGAGTAGAAAAAAATCAGTTTAGAGTCCAGCTGGACCCTTTAGCCAGTCGTAGGGTTCTCCTCCCAGGAAACCAGACCAGTATCGGTTCCATGGTCAGACCAGGAAAGAAATTCAGCCTTGGACTGATCCACTGGGACTGGCCACACAAATGAAACTTATAGAGCAGGTAAAGACTTTAAAAACTTTTTGGATGTTTTGACAGTCCACTGGTCGACCAGGATTTGGCCCGGTAGTCCTCAGTCCAGAAAACGTGGTTTCTTCTTCAGTGACTGAAATTCTGGAAAATCACTTTACCCTGAACGCTACACACTGCACTGAGTCATCTCACCTGTGGGCGGAGCCTATGTGTTTATAGTACCAACGGTTTAACAGGAGGGACTCACACGCACTAACATGCACACGTATGTGCACTAACATGCATGCGCTGCCAGACCAGCTACCAAAACAAAGACCAGAGAAACCTGCCTTACATCACACACAGAGGGGGTATGGTTTCGTTCTCTGCTCAGGACACCATTACGCCACTATATCTATACATGGACAATAGTTGTTTGCTGCTGTGTTATTGTTAAAATCTTGTTTAGAGAAACTTTTTATCTATTTTACTATTTATTTCACAAATTCATGCTACATTAATGTTTTAAACTATTTATTTCATGTCATTGATTATTTTACAGTTGGCACATATTTATATAAATAAAATAAAATAAAATAAAATAAAATAAAAATAAAAAAAATATTCCATAGCAGTCATCTACAAGGAAACTGCAGGCCAAGCACATCAGCAGAGTGGCCATGTGTGATGAAGATCAACATGTTAATCAACAGGAGCTTAATGTTGCTGTTAGAAAAGCAGAGCAAAAACACGCCACCCAGTGTTATGAGTGGGGAAGTGTAATTACTAACTCTTATAACTAATATTCAACGCGGAATTTTCTAGTGTAAAGGAAAATATATTTAATATAATTTATACATTTGGAGTAAACAATCACTGATAAGGTACTTTTTTTTTTTTTTACCTTTTTACCTTTCACCTAACAATGCTGTGAAGTTTACCATGTACTCCATGTTGGCAGCGGGCGGGAAGACGCTGGCTCTGACTTGGTTGTGATAATCCAGGATGGCCACCATGTCCCTCTGAGTGATGAACCGTTTCCGCCGCGCTCTGCGGACCCCGGGCGACGAGTCCGGTTTCATCACAGGAGTGGAACCAGAGCCGGACTGGTGTTGTAGCTGCGGGGACCCGGTGGAGTTTACAACCCGCCCGCTGACTCCACACAGCAGGACTGCGCAAGACAGAAAATAAACGTCTCTCATGTTTACTCCTTTGAAACACCTCGTCAGGTAAAAGAAAATAATTGTTTGTCTGTGATGGTCCAGGTCCAGGTCCAGGTCCAGGTCCAGGAGCAGGTCCAGGAGCACGAGCAGTAATGAGGCTGAGGAGATGCTCTGTACTGTGGTGAGGATCTCTGAAAGGTGAACGGGTTCAGCCTGCCCCCACTGTCTTTCAAAATAAAACACATTGGACTGAGGTTAATTCAGGAGGAGGAGAAAATAAAAATGTAATAACATGGCATTACTCAGAGGTGACGTCAGGTCATTTAGGAAACTTTATGGTAGATTAGTAAATCACATAAATCCTGTAGAGACTGTCCTGACTGTTGTGTTATAATTTGTTATCTCTATTATCTCCAATATTTTGACAAGTAAAATACTTTAGAAACACATGGAGACCCCCTACATCACTCTGATGATATGTTCAGGTGCAATGCCACAGTCACTGACGGTTAAAAAGAAAAACACAAAGCCACAGTTATATTTCATATTTTATTTGTGTTTTTTATTGGTTAAATTATTTTATGTCAAGTCATTAAATCATTAATGAACCAAACTATTCAATAAAAAATCAGCCAGTTTTCCTGTCATCCCATTTGAAAACAGCCCGTGAATTAACTTAACAAACTGAATATGAAATCTAAACAGACTCTGCAAACAAGGCCCACACCACATCACCAGGATCTTCCTCATGGAACCGAGCCCCACATCCTACAAAGCAGATCCAGTCCTCTGGGGTCTTCTTGGGATCTCTGGGGTCTCCATAAGATGTTTTGTAGGATTCACAGGGATGTTCATGTGTTTGTTTTCCAGTAAACTCCCTGGTTGAATGAGTTCCTTGAATGACATCAGTGACTTTGTGAACAATGATGAAAAAAAAAAGCAAAAGGAAAATCTGAGAAAGGAGGATTAAGAGAAGATTGATTAGACCGACAATTCACATAAAATTAACAGCAATGAATCTTAACCCTAACCCATCACAAAAGTCATGATATGATTACTAATCTCTGACATCACATAGGTATCATCATCAGGTATCATGTAACTGATGGCTGCTCAACACTCTCTGGATCGCAGATGTATTCCCCATCCGGGGTGAAGCACTTAAGATGTCATCATCTGGTCTACTTCCTGTAATGTGCTAATCTCCATCTCAGCACTGATGTCCATTTGAAGAGAGTTGGGCCTCCCTCAGGTTGTTGACCAGGACCTCCTGCTGGAGACCGTTCAGCTGGTGGAGCTCTCTCTGCTGTGGCACCTCATCAGGGATTAGATGTCCAGGCTGTATCCAGTTTGAGCAGAACTGTTCTTGCAGCCCAAATTCATCACGATTCCAGATATGTGTAGGCACATCTGTGATTTACAGGTCATGGAGAAGAGCCTTATGCTGCTTAAACCACTTAAGGTTTTTTCACCATGAGGTCAGAGGTTCCTTTTCATCAATTGTTTGAACCAATGGAACCTCAGAAAACCACTGCATTTACTGGCTTTGTCATAATCACAAGCCATCTTCTGGATGTCCTATTTGGTTAAAGGAAGACCTATTTGTGAGCTCTTTTAACTTATCAGCATTTGGCTCCAGACCTGTGAGGCCTTGGTGCAGAACCAGGTGATAAAAGATCATCAATATAAAAGAGCCAAAGCATGCAGGGATTTAAAAGGTTAGGGAAAGATGTAAGTGAAAGGAAATATGTTGTGTCTGAAGTCACTGTAAACTTGTTCTGTATTAAACCAGACCAGGATCTTTAACCTGAACCAAGAGCAGCCCTGAGTCTGAACAGAACCACAAAACAGTTAAATGATGCTGGAGTCACTCACAAGTGGTAGTGTGCTGTAACATCAGATAGTTCAGTATCAATTTATTAGTGACTTACACAATGCTGTGTAGATTGTGAGGTTCTACTGTTTGCTTTTAAAGCCCTCAATGAATTAACCCCTCCTTACATCACAGACCCACTGAGCCCATAGACCACATCCAGGCCCTCTGACTGTCAGACATGTGCCTCCCCGACAGTCCCTCGCACTGACTTTAAACCCAGAGGTGACCGAGCTTTCTCAGTCATGGCCCCCAGACTACAGAAGACCCTGCCCATGTCAGTCTGATCCAGATCTAGATCCATCGACTCTTTCAAATCTTGGCTCCGAACATATTTGTTCGTATTAGCGTTTGTTTGTCTGTTCTGTTGTCTCCTGTGTTGATTGTATTTATTCTTGATCTTGTGCAGCACTTTGGTCAGCTGTCTGCTGTTTTTAAATGTGCTCTACAAATAAATTGTTACTATGATGAACCTTATGAACAGATCCTACGGTAAAATGGCTGGAAATGTTATATAAAGTGTAAACCATGAGCAGTTCTGTCATGTCCTGTGTAAAAGAGACTAAATACACTCAGTTAAAGTTAGAAAACAAACTGGTTTGGATTGAAACTACAACCTTATTAAGGTTGGGGGACCGTCATCGTAATAGTTACAATCACAACCACAGGGTTCAGGTCTTGGAACAATCATGGTCATGGTTAATAGAAACCCAGACTGACTGTCAGCAGGAAACAGGAGGGAAACAGCTGTTTGCTGTCTTTAAGTCTGACATTGTGTTGACCTCTCTGTCCACTCCAACCTCCTCACTGTGTGACACAACATCGCTCTGAAGACAGACAGGGGTGGTGACACTGTACGCCCACTAGAGGGCTCTGTCTCTGTCATTCTTGTAGGAAGTCAACTTCCAGGAAATGCTTGGAACCATCCTTGTGTATCAGCAGGTGTAAGGACATGAGTGGAGAGGGGGTCAGGGAGGTCAACATGTTTGATTCTGACACTGGAGACGAGAGTGTCTTTCCAACAGTAGACCCTGTCTGTCCCAAAACCTTGACTCAGTGTTTTTCGTTGCCTAAACGAAACCAAACCTTTAACCACAGAGAACATACTCATGAATCATTTTCCAAGGCAGTGACAGATACAGTGGACTCACTGAACTTGTCTTTTTCAAACAGTACACTTGAAGATCAGTAGATCCTTGTGGAAGAGGGTGAGTCTGGAGGTGTCTTCAACGATCTTGTTTTCTTCTTCAGGTTAGAACTGACCCCACTAAGATGAGGATTAACTGATCTGATGCGCACTGACACAAAAGTATTAAAATGAAACCGAATACAAAGAAATCCATTATTTATTACTATATATTATTATTTATTATTTGTTTAATCTGAAATTCAGCTTCAGAAAGTCTATTTTAGGTGACAGTTAAAGTGTCAAATATGTGTTTTTTTTAACAGTGAATTTAATTTAATTTAATCTTATGACAACAGACTTCCTATCTTTTCTATCTAACAAGGGCAGAGTTCTGTTGTAAGACTCTGGTTTGGTCCTTTAAACCCCTCGTGCCCTTCTTTAGTGTTGGAGTGGGATACCGAAGGTGAACATGACGTAGTGTGTTTATTTTTTTTAAGAAAGCTTCTTTGCTGCCAAATCAGGAGAGCTGATCCAGCTCAGGACTGTGGTTCATTATCCAGGTCCTGGTCCAGAGGCTGCTGTCAGATCCAGAGTTTCTTGGAAAGAGCAGAAATTAAAGCAGAGAGATTCAGAGCTGTAGACTCTGTACTCCCCAAATGCTGCTGTCGTCCAGTGGGAGTGGGGGTGGGGGGCTGGTGCAGCTTACAAATAGCTCTTTATGTAGTGGTTCAGTCAGTCCTTGCTCAGTACAGTAGAGGTGTGTAAATAAAAGATAAAACAGGAAACAATGACTCAGTTTTGTTTTCAGATGTGATGATTCTTTACCAAATTAATAACTCGATTAAAAATGAATAAATAGATCAATTCAGATCAGCCCTCTGGAACTGAGCTCCACCCTCGACGTCCAGCCATCCTGACTGAGCTTCACTCTGTCTGCTCAACCACCCGCTCAAGACCCCCACCTTTATACTAGTTCATGCCCACCACCCTAGTAAAAGCCATGCCAAAGAAGAGCAAGCCACAATTTAAACTGAGATTAGATCGTTGTTAATCAAACGTCAAACTATTGATTTCACACAGCTAACTGTAGAATTATGGCTCCTTTTCTTGCAGTGGATTTAATACTTAAATGTCAAGTCAATTTTTTTATAGCGCCAAATCACAACATTATATATACTGATAATAATAATCATTATTATAATAAATCTAGCACCAGGTGTTGAGCAGGATCATGGGGGAAGTAGGTTATTACACATGTAAGTTTCTGCCCGTGGGGGTGACGTTGTGAAGTAGCGTTGGATCATGGGAGATGTTGTCTTCACCAGCCTTGCTGCAGTTGCCATCAGCTTGTGCTGGTTTGGATCCCTTCAGTTATTCAGGAGGTGTTATAACCACAGCCAAATTATCAGCAGAGGTCTCCTCCATCAAAACACTGAAGAGTTTCATGTTAAACCTGGTCTCTGAGCACGGTTTTGTCCCTTTACTGGCAAGGAAGAGAGACAGGAAGCGCAGAGATTGAGAGTGGGGGAATGACATGAAGCAAATGCCCATGTAGTATGCACCCCAAACCACTGGGCACATTCAGTGTTTGTCTTCAGACAGGTGACCTGTAACACACAGATTCCACTGGATGAGTTTTGATCTCTATCAGAGCTGTCAGGACATTTTTTATTTCAGGAAAAAGTCCAAACATATTTTATCTGTCATGGCAGGAAATACAGAGACACAGAGAGGTTTTAGTTTTGCTGCAATAATATATTTCTCAATATTTTACAATAATATTTGGAATAAGTGGCACGGACGCATCAGAACATACATGTACTGAAAGCAAACTTGAACCTTTCTCTCTGTCCTCTATGAAACATATCTTAAATATGAATCCTAAAGTTGTTCCCTTACATACACTTCAGGAAGTGCTGGACTATGTGGGGACTATGATTAAAAGCCTCCTGGTCGATGGCTGTGTCCCATCTTGCTGTAAACGTGCGGTCAATCACCCTCTGATC